TAAGCAGAATGCATATCCTGAGGTGTTAGAAATGTCACATAATATCATGATACAAGTGCAATGAAACCACAAGAGGAAACGCAAAAAGGTAACAAGACTACGTAACAAAAGTTGAGAAGCCACTGAACGAAGTGTCGACCTTCATCGTCGTGCACTTGTATCATGAATATCCTGAGTTTCGCACGATGTAAACAAACCATATTTAAACCCGAAACGTCATGTACGTTCCTTGTGTCCCACTAGATTTTGTGGATTCACAGGAAGCGAGAGTTTCTAAGTCTGAGGAAAATGTTGAGCAGTCGCTGCTTGGATGACTAGTAGTGGTAGAGTGATTAGTGGTAGAGTATGGCTGGGTATAATCGATTGTATCAGGTTGGAGTCCTTGTGGTCACTGTCATTTTCCCCTTTCCACATTTCCCTCGAGCAAATGAACATTGAGATAATCTTTTTATTAGAAGATTTTAAATGTTTTGACGGGGACTTGAACGGGTCTATACAAATGAGACCAGAGGTAGACATCTACATACAGGAATAAACTATCTCACATATTTAGCATCATGTGCCTACTTCAAAACAGCACAGCGTCTCTTTTAGGGACAGGATCCATACCCAGCATGCGTGCAGAAGAGTATTAAAAGATGCGCGAAAAAGTACAGATTTTATAAACCACGAGCCACATGATCAGCCCAACTGTTTTTTTTTGTGAATGGTAGATATGGAAATACGTGTACGAAGTGCATTGAGTAATATGGCTAGAAACTGTACAATATATCAACTCTAAACCAATGATAATGAAAATCATTGTGATGCTACAAATATGGAAGTCAGCATGTAAGCAGTGGCCTTTGCGTGGTGTTCAGATTTGGCTACTTGCATTTCAAAAAGGGCCTACAAGTACATGTATAATGAACATTTTCCATAATTTGGAAAAGACGCCTTTTGTTAAGGTTATCATTTTGATAGTCTTCCAAGAGTTTGTTTTTTAATCATTGACAGACTTTTATTGTTTCTCTCAGAGGTGGATTTCTTCATGTACTGTTAGGTTAGATTTCCGAGAGAAAGACTTTTCACATATTTTACACTTGAACGGTTTCTCTCCAGTATGGATGCGTTGATGACCCGCGAGATTTGATGCAGTTCTGAACGCCTCCTCACAAACGTTACTTTTGAAAGGTTTCTCTCCTGTATGGACGCGTTGATGATCTGTGATATGTGAAGGTTGTCTGAATGCCTTGTTACATTCTTTACACTTGTATGGTCTCTCCCCAGTATGGATGCGTACATGAATTCTAAGTTGGGAACGGGAGTGAAAACCTCGATCACAGTGATCACAGGTAAACCGCTTCTCCCCTGTATGGTACCGTTCATGAGTAGTATGATTGGATTTATCACTGAATGATTTAGCGCAGAACTTGCACGTGAAGGGTTTGTCTCCTGAGTGAACTCGAACATGGCGGACAAGAAGAGATCGCCAATGGAAGACTTTATCGCACCCTTTACACTTGAAAGGTTTTTCTTCTCGGTGCGTACGTTCATGAGATGTTAGACTGGATTGAGCAGAAAATGATTTATCACAAAACTTACATTCGTACGGCTTTTCTACGGGACGCGAATGTCTGCCATCAGGCATATCATGCTGGCGTTCAAGCGATGGCCCAGCTTCCCTGTAAAGCGAAGTTTCGGGTTGAGGGAAGTCAGCTTGAAGTTGAAAATCTGCCTCAGAACTAGACTCGGAGACATGCTGATTGTTGTGCGGTAAGCTAGACATCCTAAGATCCACTGGAACATTTTCGATATTGTGAACGTCCAGGTCGGCAGATTTGCCTGAGTATTCGCTATCTTCCTACTCATACCCAACGTGTGCGTGGCCTATGTAGTGATCTGAAACAGAGACGGGATGGTTAGCAGTTTGGTTACGGTTGATTTGCGATCTTTGGCCATTGTCCATTGCTGATGTCATGGGATTAGAGCATGGGTTATCGTTAGTTGCTGTTGAAGGATCATTAGCGCGTGTATCCTTGTTCCTCTGGAACTCTGGTCGAGGCGGCCTGAAGTTGTCTGCTGCAGTGTCCAGCCAAGGATGATCTTGGAGCACTCTGGATGTAGATGTTGGTGTGTTCGAAGTGGTGAATGAGGAATGCTGAAGTGCATAATTCGCAAAGGAGCCTTCTGAAGTCGTCTCTGGGCTACCGCTATTGGGGTTTGCGTGGTGATGAGCCGTGTAAGTCGTACCGTAAAATGGTATATTTCGCTTTGGGGAATACCCTGTTGACCTTCTGCTGGTCCATATCACTAATGGTGGAAGTGGTGAGAGTGCATCAGAGTCGGCACTTCCATCTGAAGTCCAGTCACAATCATCCATGATTCACTTACTTCAACAATTCTTCCAAACGCAATTCTCTTGCCATGTAGGGCAAAGTATCCAAATTCAATACCAATAATCCATAGAGCAGAAACAACTCGTGCTAGGAGGTTATTACTGTAATCAGTAGCCACTGTGTTTCCCGAATAAGTACATGAACACTTTGAGATAATTTGTCACGTTGATGTCTATTTCTAGGCCAAAACATTAACGAGCTGCTCTATAATTATCACTAACACGACCAAATACTTAACAATCAGCTCATGTGATAAATTTGCACGACATTTACCGACGTTTACCGACGTTTACCGACGTTGACCGACATTATAGCGTAACTAGTACTTCCTTGGTCCTTATTTCTTTTCTATAAATTTATCCTTGCTTCTCTACCCGAGTCCATCCTTACATTTAAGTGACACATTATGATCTTTTCACATCATGAGCTCACGCCCGGAAACACACACATGCACACTCACACAAACAAACACCCCCTCCACACAAACAAACACACACACCCACCCCTCCACACACACAAACACACACACACACACACACACACCCCTCCACACACACAAATACACGCACACTATCTCTATTTCATTATTGTTCTTCACCTTAACGCTTGACATGGGATCAGCCAAGCTTCGTGTGGAGTCTGCAAAACGTGACAAGAGGTGATGCAATCTGAGACACTTTGTTGTTAGAATCGAAAACACAAAGTGTCTGCTATCAACAGATGCATGGTTTATATGGTCTCCTGTGATATGGTCTAGGTAGTACGGGGCATTTGTTACGCAATCGATTAAAGTACGCCCCGTTCTAAGCACATATGTGCTGCGCTTGCAAACTCGTCACGTTATAACTATTGACATTATCGGTGGAGCTTAGTGTTAAGAAAGATATAAGCGAAATAAATATTGTGAGTTCCACACTATGTACAAACAGCACAATTAAAACAGGAAACGTCATGTACGTTAATTGTTTTGTTTTGCATCCCACCAGCTTGTGTGGATTCACAGGAGACGTGAGTTTCTAAGTCTGCGCAATTTGTTGAACGGTCACTGATCGGATGACCACTAGTGGTAGAGTGCTTAGCTGTAGGGCATCTCTGGCCATAAGCGATTGTCACAGGTCACAGGATTGAACCGCCGCCCAAACACCATTAAAGCCTGGTTAGCTCAAAACATATAACAACGGATTCACCTCTCCATTTTTCAGAAAAGCCAGTTAGAACACAGTATCTTCTTTGAAAGATCCCATCCACACCAAATTTTGGGTGCTAGCTATGCTAGTACTCGTCCGAACTAGCTCACACGCTTCACTGCATGGCTCTATACTGCCTTTCATGACTGACGTCATGCGCGATGTTTTGCTGCATAATCACAAATTTATGGCACCCAACTCGTTTTGCTGAAAAGAAAAACAAATCTTGCTTGTCCTGTTGTTTTCTTCCAGACAACAGATCGTGCTTCTGCAGTGTTTCTTTTCCCCCCATCCCTCCCTATCCAACGTATTCAGACCATCATGATAATAATGGTAGGAACTGATTGGGTCCACTTTCACAACTGGTGTTATCTAGCCATTTCCTGCGGCTCTGCCTTGAGCTGTACTACATCCATTAGCATTGCAGCTCTACGATGAGCTAACACCAGATCTACTTTGAGCTAACAGCAGCTCTAATTTGAGCTTACAGCAGCTCGACTTTGAGTTTATAGCAGCTCTATGTTTAGCTATTAGCATCTCTACTTTGAGCAAACACTCTCACATCTGGTGTTATCTGGCCAATTTCTGCGGCTCTGCCTTGAGCCATATCACATCCATTACCATTGCAGCTCTACGATGAGCTAGCAGCAGCTCTACTTTGAAAGACGTCATAGTACCTGGCTACAATGGAACAATAAACCGACATTCACAGCGACAATCATACACACAAACGGACAAGCGCAAACACACATGCAAACACGACGAAAGTAGAGCAAGAAATGAACACATCTAAGAATTATCGGCTCGCATGTCAGGTCAAAACATCACCGCAACACACCTACGAAACTACCATGTATTCCATCAATTATCGCGATAATAATATAATAAAAAATTACAATAATAAAAAGTACATTTACGAAACCGATTGAATTCACTACGAAGATTACAGTGCTTAGCATAGGGCGCAATTCTACAGACGTCCAACTCCATTCTGTACATTCTCCTAACTCATTGACTGAATGCGACCAGAAGGATATTACTAGCACCCCATCCAGCGTGTATGGTAGACAACAATAATGCAAGAAAAAAAGAAGACGACAACAGGAAAGTACGAGGAAAAATTTGTACATTTCATTAATATGCATTGCGTTGAACGATGCATGAAAAGCGCAAACAGAATCATAGTACATGTGTTTGCAGATAATTCAGGATAAGACGGTGCACACAGAGCAATAACTATAACTGAACAGTTACCAAAATGCCTATAAGAAAACGAGTTAGAGACTTTGAAGCATAAACAAGGAATAATGTTTTAAACGCTCTTTGATAGGTTAAAAAGCATTTCCCATAATCTTGAAAACGATACTTCTGTTTTCGGGGTTTTGTATTTCCATGTTCTTCAATGCTGTTTGTCGCATTGAAAGGCTAGTCACGATCACTTGTACTTGATCAGGTTCTCTCCGGGATGGATCCTCTCATGACGTGTTAGGCTGGATTTCTTAGTGAAAGACTTTCCACATTCCTTACACGAAAATGGTTTCTCTCCAGTATGGATTCGTTGATGATATTTGAGAGTTGACATTTCCCGAAATGCCATGCCACATACTTTACACTTGTATGGTTTCTCTCCAGTATGGATGCGTTGATGCACTGTGAGATGTGATTTCGTCGTGAATGACTTGTCACACCAGTTACACTTGTGTGGTCTCTCTCCAGTATGGATGCGTCGATGCCGGGTGAGATCTGATTTCGTCGTGCATGACTTCTCGCATGATTTACACTTGTATGGTCTCTCTCCAGTATGGATGCGTCGATGCACGGTGAGCTTTGATTTTGTCGTGAATGACTTCTCGCACGATTTGCACTTATATGGTCTCTCTCCAGTATGGCTACGTTCATGAACTCTAAGATTGGTATTACGGCGAAACATTCGATCACAGGAACCACACCTGAACGGCTTCTCCCCGTTATGGATACGTTCATGAACATGTAGGCCATGTTTGTCACTGAACGGCTTTGCGCAGTACTTGCACGGAAACGCTTTGCATACTGAGTGAAGTCGTGCATGTTGGGTAAGATTATGTTGCGTGGTGAACATTTTGTCACACACGTTACACTTGAACGATTTCTCTTCTGGATGTGTACATTGATGAGAAGTTAGGCAAGACGGAGTAGAAACAGATTTATCGCACTGCTTACATCTATATTGCTTTTCTCCAGGATGTGAATGTTCGCGATCAAGCCTATGGGGCTGGCGATCAAGTGACTTTTCACTTTCTTCGCAGAGTGTATCTTCTGGTTCCGGAAAGTCAGATTGAAGTTGACAAGCTATCTCAGAACACAGCTCAGAGTTGTGATGAGTGTTGATCTTTTCAAGATCGTAATGATCGGAATCCGTGGGTACGCTAGCCACTGGAGAAGACACTGGAAATTGGCCAAAGTTGTGTACAAGCCTTGCGTGAACGGTCATACCAGCAGATTTGCTGTAGATCTTGCCATATTCAATGTGAAACGCTTCTTCCTCGTAGCCTGTGTAGTGATCTGAAACGGGTTCGCGATAGTAGTTAACGGTTGGGGTACTGTTACCTTGCGAAATTTGATCCTTGTCCATTGCCGATGTCAAGGAATCCAAACATGGGTTTTCGACAGCTGCATTTGAAGCATCACTGGTCTTTGTATCCTTGTTCCTCTGGATTTCTGGTCGAGGGTCCCTGATTTTATCTGTCACCATATCCTTGGGAACATGATCTTGAGGAACACCGGCGCAAGATGTTCGTGATTTCCAAGGGTTGAATGAGGTATTTTGAAGAGAAAAATGGGAAGAGGAGAATTCCGATGTGGCTACTTGATTACAACTATTGGGGTATCCGTGGTGAAGAGCTGAGTACGGTGTACTATAAGATAGTGCAGTTGGCGGTGGAGGACACGCGGTTGACCTTCTGCTTGACCATATTACTAATGGCTGCAGTGGTGAGAGTGCATCAGAGTCGTCACTCTCCTCCGAAGTCCAGTCACAGTCGTTCATGATTTACCTACTTCCAACAATTCTCACAACCGTAATTCTTCTTCCAGCACTGCAAGGTTTCCTAATTAAACCACAAATAAAATGCTTGGAAGTAGCAAGAAGTCAGTTCAATTAGGAAGACAACACTCCCTAGTTGTAGTCATTAGTTTTGTAAATAGTAAACAGCTGGTGTTTCTCTTTAGTAATTGGAAGAACAATGTGCAAAGTCTGCACATCAACACAGTTCACATCTATTTCTGGCACTGAAATTATACTTTACACAATATTATAATCTTGTGAAATCACTCAATCACATACAAAGGATAATAGAAAAGATTTCTTTTCTAAAATTCAAAAACCCAACCCACACCCATCTCTCCTATCTAGTCTTCACCTCCAATTCTGACTTGGAATCACACAATTTGAAACATGTCTGTCATGCCGATGAGGAAAGGGATATGATGAGGCGATGGTGCGAGTCTAGGCCGATTAGGGACAAGTATGTGGGGAGATTATGTATGTAGAGATGAGGGATGAAGAGATGAGGTATGAAGAGATGAGGTACGAAGAGATGAGGTATGAAGAGATGAGGTATGAAGAGATGAGGTGTGAAGAGATAAGGTATGAAGAGATGTGATACGATGAGATGTAGAGTTGTGAAAGTGTAGTTGGTGGCTTTACACCCCTTACGTCATAGAACAGCATTAGTGTCTAGACTAGACTTCAACATTTCCAGCCACTGGCTATGCAGCTGTGTTTTTGTTTGTGGTGTTGAATGGATGGAGCACAAAGGCAATAAAAAAAGGTCACGATTCGCGTGAGACTCGGCTGAAAGTCCGGTTTCCCGCATCCGTAGGAACGCCACCACCCTTCAAGGATCAACGGCAATAATCATTTTATTATTGGAAATTTTGGTTAGTTTTGACAAGGAGTAGAACGGGACTTAACAATACCACATATGGGATCAAAGTTACATACAGAAACAAAGGAACTCACATATTTTGAATCATGTGTGAACTCCCAAGCAGCACAGTGCATCTTCTAGAAGATGAGCGACATTTTAAAGAAAGAGCTGTTTTCTTTACCAAACATGAACCGCACAGGGGCGTTCATGAGGATCCGTGAAATAAAAATCAATCAATCAAATCAATTCTGGCAAAAAAAGTGTTTCTGCATCGTTACTTTGGAAATACATTACTTTTGTGTAAGAAGAGCAATGGGTAACATAAATTTAACCTGTAGATATCAACGGCAATACAATGATAATGATAATGTTATTAATGTTATATGTGGTGACGTTAGCATGTAAGCAGTGAACTTTTCATGGAGACGTAAATGCAACATAGAAAAACAAACGTTCGGGTGTTAGTATTTGCATGGTCTTCAAAGTGTGTTTTCGCTTTGATTGACTTGTCACCAGCGCTGTCACGTGATCAGTTTCTCTCAGGAAAGGATTCTTTCTTGGACTATTAGGCTGGAGTGCATGGCCTAATACTTTCAACATTCCGTACACTGAAAATGCATATCTCCAGTATGGAAGCGTTCTTGTTCTGTGTCGGCTTCAGTGACACTTCAGTGCACGGAAAGGTGTGGAGGAGTAGGCACTATGACTCTGTGCAGACGATCCAGTCACCCAGTAGGATCTGCGTGTTGTGCAGCCCTCGATCTGTGAGCAATGGTCTTGGAAATGCCAATCAGGAATGTGTCTCACCGAATCAATTTTAAGGATTGTTGACGAGATTCTCTTTTAGCTTACATTCCAGTTAAAGTAACGAAATTTATTCATATTGCACAGCTACATGTATGACTCGAAATGTAGTCAATAACAGTGTCCTCGCAAGAAATGAAATGCACCCAATCATACAGAAGGGAAGTTCAGCTCCTCGTGGAAAATCATATCCTGTAATTCTTGTGTCGTACGAGCTCAAATTTATTCCAAGTATAGCAATGGAAAAATTCTAGTTCCTTGCCACATGGGTATTATATTGCCCATATTAGGTTTCCATATATTTGGACAGTGATGATCATGAAACTCATTCTAGAGCGAGAAACCCTGAGTTGCGACGACCTGGCTTTGTCCCGCTATGATAAGCATCACAAATACCCTCTTCTCTATTGTATTTGGCCTTCGGCATATCCAGCACTGGCGGTGCATCCTAACTGTGACTCTAGTAGTCAGCTTATCAACCTCACACTGGTCTACTGCAGTGGAGTAAGATACGTTTTACGTTCTCAGCTAACAAAAAAAGAGAATCGCTGGCCATACAAAAGGGTCCTGGTTTGAGTTCTGGTATTGTCAGTCAAATTTCCCGTTTACACATTTTCAGCAAACAAATGGACAGTGAGATAATATTCGAATAGTTTTGATAAGTAGTGTAATAGGTATCCGAGTGGTAGGCGCGGTGCAATTAACAATAATTACTTTTATTCTACTTTCAGGTACACACCTGAGATATAATCGTTAATGAAAGAAGGAACGGCAAAATAACTGACTTTCTCTCCGGTGCTCACCTGGAGGTTGAATAGCTCGTTATTATCAAAATCTCATCTTCATCTAAACAGAAATGCGCAGCCGCTTATATGCAGCAGACGCCGTACGCTTACATACGGAGATACACTAGGCAAAGCTCCGTATTAGTTCCGTACTGCTTCCGTATTACTTCCGTATCAGCCAGGCAGGGATGCTACACCCTCCCTTCCTACAGATAATCACGCCCTCGTGATTTTCAAAAGTAGGCAGGTGGGTGAATGTTCTGTCTGGGCCGGAGATTGTACGGAAGTGCAGGAGGAGGCGGAGCGGGGGGTGGGAGTTGAGGAGGAGGCGGAGCGGGGGGTGGGAGTTGCGGTAGTGGTGTATGTGCCGGGGTGGTGTGTATCTCGGGATCGTATGTCGGTGGTGTTGCAGGACGTAAATCTACGTCGGTTACTTGATGATATGGCTTCAGGCGATTTACGTGAACAATTGAAAGCCGCTGGCGATCCGACAATGAACGAATGCGGACTGTGACATCATCGATCACCTTCTGGATGACATATGGTCCTGTCCAGAATCGGTGAAACTTGGGGGACTCATTCTGAGGTACCACTGGTGAATGTAGGAGAACAAGCTGATCCTTCGTGAACTTCGGTGGCGGGCGAGATGTACCATCGTAACCCTTCTTCTGGTGCTGGTGTGATTTAAGGCCGTGCTGGCGGGCACGCTCAAAGGCAGCCTCAGTTGAAGTACGAATAGAAGAGACGAATTCAGGGTAAGATGGTGGTGGTGAGTTACGGGGTAAACCATACATCACATCGAGAGGCAGAACCGGATCATAACCAAACTGGAGGCGGAATGGAGAATAGCCAGTCGATGCATGTACACTAGTGCGGTATGCTAGCGCCGTGGGTTGGAGATGCAAGTCCCAGTCTCGGTGATCAGAGATGGATGTTGCAATCATAGCTTCTAGTGTCCGGTTGAATCTTTCAACCATGCCATCACTTTGTGGGTGGTAGGGTGTGGTTCTGGTCTTGGTGATATCAAGCATAGTGCATAGGCTTTGAAACAAGCGACTCTCAAACTGGGAACCTTGATCAGTGTGCAAGGCAGCGGGTGCACCATAGCGACAGATCCAACCATTGAAGAACAAACCAGCGACAGTAGAGGCGAGCATGTTGGGCATGGGGAAAATCTCAACCCACTTGGAGAAGTAATCCATTATGACTAATACGTACCGATTTCCTCGATCAGTGATAGGAAGGGGGCCCATGATGTCCATGGCGACACGCTGGCTTGGATAGGATGATGTTTGTGATTGCAGAGGTGCTTTCGGTTTGGGCTGAGGTGCTTTCCGTTTTTGGCACTCCGGGCAGGTTCTAACACACTGTTCGATGTCATCAGCCATGTGGGGCCAGTAGAACCGTGTACGGGCCTTGTCGATGGTGCGGGTGACGCCAAGATGACCCGATCCAATACCGGCATGCAGCGATCTGACAACAGTAGGACATTGTGACGCAGGCAGGACCAATTGAAGATACGAGGACAGATCATCAGTCGACTCATACCTTCGGTAGAGAACACCATCTTGGACAATGAGACGATTGAACTGCGTCCAGAGTCGGTGCACATCAGGATGAACAGCAGCTAACTCATTTGATCCCTTAGGTGGTCGTTGCTGTGACCTCACCCACTTCATCACTAGAGAAATCGAGGGATCCACAGCTTGGCTAGTGCGGAGGGAGGTAGACGGCAGCCAGGACGCTGACGGAGCAGGCTCACGAGTGCATTGGTCGAGCTCGCCTGTGGACAGAGAGACACCGCATGAACTCACAGCAGCAGATGCAGCAGGCGGCAGACACATACTCTTGGCAGCAGGGGAAGAACACACATGTCCACACAATCTTGACAAACTATCGGCGTTGACATGCTGAGAGCCAGGGCGATGCCGAGTTTCATAGTCAAACGCTGATAACCGTTCTATCCAGCGTGCAACAATGCCATCCGGATTCTTGAATGAAGATAACCAAAGGAGGGCTTTGTGATCAGTGCGGAGTAGGAATGTGGCGCCGAGCAAGTAGTGACGGAAATAGTGAGTGAATTCAATAACAGCCAGTAACTCACGCTTTGTCGTTGTGTAATTACGTTGACCAGAGGACAGTGTCTTACTTGCATAGGCGATGGGATGTTCTGCACCATCGGAGCCGATTTGTGAAAGGACCGCACCAATGGCATGATCACTAGCATCTGTATCCAGAATGAAGGACTTATTGGCATCAGGATAGGCAAGGACGGGTGCTGAGCTGAGGCGTTGGCGGAGCTGATCGAAGGCATTCTGTGCCTCGGGAGGCCAGGCGAATGTTGAGTGCTTCCTTGTTAGCGCATGCAGAGGTGTCGCAATCTTAGCAAAGTCATGGATGAATCTCCTGTAGTATGATGCAAAGCCGAGGAACTGGCGCACACCCGTGATGGACGTAGGTTGCTTCCAGGTGGAAACAGCCTTAATTTTGGCGAGATCAGGGCGAACACCATCAGCAGAGAACACATGACCAAGATATCCAACAGATGAGTTGACTAGAGAGCATTTAGACGGCTTCACTTTGAGGCGGGCCTCACGGAGACGGTCGAGGACAGAACGTAACCGTTGGAGGTGTTCCTTGAACGTCCTTGAGAAGACAATGATATCATCCAGATATACATGACACGTGGATGGAATAAGATCTCCCAGAACAGCATTCATCAGGCGCTGAAACGTAGCAGGTGCATTGCATAAGCCGAAAGGCATGCAGGTCCACTCATAGAAGCCAAATGGAGTGACGAAGGCAGACTTACGCCGGGCATCTTTATCCATGCCGACTTGCCAGTAGCCAGAAGCGAGGTCAATAGTTGTGAAGTAGCGGGCACCACTCATGGCGTCAATGGCATCATCAATACGCGGCATTGGAAAGGCGTCTTTTACCGTGATGTTGTTAAGCTGACGGTAGTCCACACATAGGCGAATGGAGTTGTCAGGCTTCCGGACAACGACAATAGGTGCAGACCAGGGACTGTTCGACGGACGGATAATGTGATGATCACGCAGCTTATCAATGTGCTCACTGACCTCTTGTTGCTGGTGGATTGGTAGACGACGCGGTGCTATGCGTACAGGAGGTGCGCCAGAGGTGTCGATGGTGTGCGTGACGAACTCTGTGTGGCCAGTGTCAAACGGGCCGGTGGAAACACAGTCAGCATACTCACTCATCAGGTCTTGAACGGAACGGCGATTGGCACTATCCAGGTGACTGAGATCGAACTGCGGTTCTCGAGAGCCATCGTCTGCAAGTGTAGTAGCAGCACATATCGCAGAGGTATCATCGTCGTCGACCGGAACACATGGCATGATGGAGCCAATCCGCACACCCTGTGGTAGTGTGATCGGCTGGTCGGAGAAATTGAAAACTGGATAGCCAACCGTAGCAGAAGGGGCATCATCATTATCCGCTTGCACGTGAATGGCAGCATCTTGACAGAGGAGGTCATAACGCTCGGGCAGCTTACCAGATGCTTCCAGAAGATAATCATCCGGAGCTGGAGAGAATTGGAGCTTGCCAGGCAGAAGTACTTGGCTGAACGGCGGTATTGCGACAGGTGTTGTCAATTGGACATGACAAACTTGGTGGTGAACACTCTTGGTATCATTATTACAGGCATCAGCACGAGGTGGAGAGTTGGTAGGGAACTTGAGTGAATTGTCCGCAGGGTTGAGAACGCAACCATGGGTTCTGAAAAAATCAACTCCCAATAAAACATCAGGCTGAACATCACCAACCAGAACATTGTGAGAAACTTGCCGATCATCAATGGAAAAAGTTAAACATGCAGATCCATGCAAAGGAATAGATGACCCATCAATTGTAGCCAAATCCGGTAGTGACTGTTTAACTAGAGGTGTACGCCGAGGCAAGCTTGACCAAACTTTGTTGCTCACTAATGTCACTGCCGAGCCCGTGTCAAGCAAAGCGTTGAACTGCATGGATTGAATAGTAACTGGTACTGTGAATGGACGGTGTACGGAGGAGCGGTGAAAGAATGTAGCAATGTGGGACTTCAGACCATCAAACGATGGTGTTAAGAAGAGTAGGTAAGCAACTCCTAGGACTGGCACCCCAATGCAAACGAACATAGCAATACGTCTAACAGCATGAATGACAGGGGGTAAACCCACTATGGCGAGAATACAAATGAGCAAATAGGCTCCTATTGGTAAACTAACCGGCTGGTGAGTCCGAAGCGCATCACGCACAGCAGTTGGACTCAGGACTGCTGTGGACGGCTGTTTCCCGATGGCTGACGGGGCTGGCGGCACTCAGAGGCATAGTGGCCAGCGCGACCGCAATTGAAGCATGTAATGGGTCTCCTCGGCTGGCTGCGTTGCAGCTGGCTGCGTTGTGGCTGGTGGAGAGGTTGTGCGGTTGGACCGGCGTCACGTTGTTCGAGGCGAGCCAGTCGAACGCTGATGGCTTCCAGCGATTTAGCGACTGCCTCTAGCTGCGTTTCCTGTGCGACTCCGCACACGGGAAGAGGTGGTGTTTCCTGCTCTTCAGCCTGCAGGATGGAATGTTGGTGAAGGGCGGCGAGTAGGGAAGCATCCAGGGTATTCGGAGCTAGTTCCCGGACCCTGACACGAATCGACCTGGAGTCGAGACCAGCAAGAAACTGGTCCTTTGCAAGGACATCCCTGTCCGCAGCGGCCATGTTGGGATAGGATTGGGCGACAGCCGCCCTTACTTTCTCACAGTAAGCGCTGGCCGACTGTCCCTTCTCCTGTCGCAACGCTTTGAAGGCGGCCCGGTGTAGTTCCGCACGCTGAGCGGGAGCGAACCGGTCTTCTAGGGCCTGAGCGAGGTTAGCGATAGCGCCTTGATGGGTCGCCTGTGGGAGACTCAGGTAGAATAGCTGGGCGTCCCCGGTGAGGGACAACCCCAGGAATTGAGTTTGCTCGGCCGGCGTCCACTGGTTCACCGCAGCAACCTGTTCAAACTGGGCATACCATGCCGACCAGTTGTCATCTAGCCGACCTGCGTATTTGGCCGGGGTGGCCCAGTTGTGCACGTGGCGGGCGGGCGCCGGAGCAACGGCGGCTGGTACAGCAGCGGCGGCTGGTACAGCAGCTGGTTGAGCCATCACGTCAACGATTAACTAAGGGCCAGGCGGGTAACAAGACGAGTTCCGTAAACAGGTGAGTTCGAATCTGACAAATTTGATTGAACCACCGCTGCCACCAATGTAATAGGTAGCCGAGTGGTAGGCGCGGTGCAATTAACAATAATTACTTTTATTCTACTTTCAGGTACACACCTGAGATATAATCGTTCGTGAAAGAAGAATAAAAGTAATTATTGTTAATTGCACCGCGCCTACCAGAACGTTACTATACAGTATGACACATGGAACCAAGAGTACATACATGAACACATTTTTAGCATCATGTGCGAATATGCAAACAGTAGAGTGCCTCTTCCAGCGAAAAGATCTGTACCAGGCACGCGTGCTCCAGAAGTAGGATATCGGGTATACTGCATGACTGATTTATCCAAAAAAAACATACAGGAACTTTTAGTTGCATGGTAAATATGGAAACATGTTCCTTCTCTGCAAGAACTGCAATGAAAAAATGGAGTGAAAGAGTGTATATTAACTAGAATACAATGACAATGATAATGCTTTGGATGTTACATATGTTGAAGTTAGCATGTAAGCAGAGACCTTTGCATGCATAACGGATCGAATTTTAAACGACATTTATGCTACTTGCCGTTGAAAAGGGGTCAGTGGGTAGCATTTTCCATTATCTTGAAAACATTCTTTCTGTTTCACTGTGTTTGTATTTGCATGGTCTTCAATGTTGTTTTTCTCATTGAAAGACTTGTCACGATCGCTGGCACTTGATCAGGTTCTCTTAGGGATGGATCTGTTCATGAACTGTTAGGCCGGATGTCGTAGTGAAAGACTTTCCACATTTCTTACACGAAATGGTTTCTCCTCAGTGTGGATTCGATGATGATATACGAGAGCTGACGTTTGCCGGAATGCTTTGCCACATACTTTACATTTGTAAGGTTTCTCACCAGTATGGATGCGTTGATGCTCTGTGAGATTTGGTTTCGTCTTGAATGACTTGTCACACAAGTTACACTCGTATGGCCTCTCTCCAGTATGCGTTTAAAGAAGCCAGGCGTATCGTGACTCGTATGAACCGTGAACTGAAGACGAATTTTTTTCAGTCTAAGTTCACCAGTGTTCAAGGTAATCCCAGGAAAACGTGGAAGGTTTTGAACGAGTTATCCGGAAGATAACGTGTTCAATCCGTTCCACAATGCTCTGCAAGCAACATTGGGTGTGTATTTGCTGATGTTGTCAGTGATCAACAACGAGCACCTGAACTGTGTCTTCCACAGGGCCCAGTGGGACCTAAGGGTTTTACATCCTTCAGTTCGGTGTCAATAGGTTGTTTGCGTAAACTGTTGGGTTCCTTGGACACCAGGAAAGCGACAGGCAGTGATGGAATACCCGCATTTCTTCTGAAGTCCTGCGCTGATTTGCTAGCTCCCTCCTTAACATTGATATTTAATGCATCTCTTGCTGTTGGTTCTGTGCCGGACGGCATGAAGTTGGCACATGTCACGCCGGTATTCAAGGCTGGAAATCCTCAAGATCCGGGAAATTATCGCCCTGTGTCTCTCCTGCCAATTGTGTCGAAGCTGTTAGATCGAATTGTCCATAGACAACCATCCTCATTTCTGGACAAGGAGAATTTGTACCCTCCCTGTCAGTTTGGCTTTAGACGTCAACATTCAACGGAAGACGCTCTAGTTTTCGTCACGGACACGTTTGTTCGCGCTCGCGATGCCGGACAAATTACTGGTGCTGTGCTCGTGGATATGTCCAAAGCATTTGACAAGGTCAGGCACCAAGTGCTCATTAATGATTTGTTTGAGCTTGGCATATCTGGTTCAGCATTAGTTTGGTTTGCCGACTATTTGTCCAATCGTCGCCAAATAGTGCACATTGCTGAGAACTATAGCCCTCCTTTCCCCTGCACGTGTGGCGTTCCCCAGGGCTCTGTTCTTGGTCCGCTGCTTTTTGTACTCGATGTTCGTTCGATCCAGTCCATTGTCTCCGAGTTTTGTGTGAAAGTTATTCAATTTGCTGACGATATTCTATTGTATGTTTGCGGTACGCAGAAGAATGCGCTTAGCAACTCCCTGTCTGCAGGTGTCTCAGCCATAAGTACCTGGCTGTCAAACCGCAATTTAATTCTAAATGCTCGGAAGACACAAGTGCTCTTCCTGTCTACGCCACATATTACTGACCACCAATTTGCAGTCTACTGCCATGGAGTGCAGCTCAAGCAAGTGACATGTGCAAAGTACCTTGGAATACATTTGGACCAGGATCTTTCTTGGAGCACTCAAGTTGATTCTATGGTCTCCAAACTAGCCAGTAAAATTGGTATTCTGTTCCGAAATCGACACAATATTCCGCTGACTTGCCAAGAAACCTTTGTAAAGTGCCTAGTGTTGCCAGATTTTCTATATGCATCAAATTGTTTTTCTGCTGGCCTTTCCTTAACCCAGTTAGGTAGGCTTGAACGAATGCTAAAGCGAGCTTTGCGTTCAGTGTACGATACTGGTTTTTGTAGCCCATCAAGCCCTTTGTTTGCGAGACTTGGTCTAGATCGTTTGGCAACCATGTATTGCAAGAAATTACTGTATCTGACGTGGCGCTGTTTGGAAGGCCGCTGTAGTGGCACATTAAGTCAAATGTTCGAGCGTTTAAATAATGGTCTTGCAACGCGCAGCCTTGTATCACGCACTCTTAAGTTGCCCATGCTCAGAACTGCCTTTGCCCGTCATGGCGCTTCCTTCCAATGTGCTAAGCTGTGGAATGATTTGCACCCTCTAGCTCGCTGTGTGGATAACTCCGCCCGTTTTAAGAAACTGTTACCCCAATGCCTTGCTTTTTCACGCTAGTAATTATGACTTTCAGCTATGCAAAATGCGAACATGATCACCTATCCAATACCGGTAGTCTATTATATTTAAAATTATTCATATCTTTTTGCATCTTTCCCTCGAGTGGGTCTATTGTTATTAGGCAATTGTCTGTTATAGTCACCACTATAAATAAAAATCCAATCCAATCCAATCCAATTATGCGATTATTCGATTTTGGTAGAAATTATGCGAAAAATTATGCTAGCATAATCCGTCAAGGCCTATCCAGTGTGGATGCGTTGATGACGCAAAAGATTGGAACTTTGGCTGAACGACTTTGCGCAAACCTTACACTTGTATGGTTTCTCTCCAGAGTGCGTACGTTCATGAAGTTTTAGTCTCCAATTCTAACAGAATGACTTTTCACACTTCTTGCACTTGAAACGTTTCTGGTTGTGATGCGTGCGTTCATGTCTAGTAAGACTAGACTGGTTAGAAAATGCCCTTCCACACAGCTTACATTTCACCAAGTTTCCTCCAGTTGGTTTGTGTGGTTTTTCAGATACAAGTTCACCAGTGCATTGGGGAGATACCGAATTATCGCTAATATTACCTATACTCTGTTGATTCAGGTCAAAGTCAACAGAATGGATGGACGATTCGTCATTAGGCGAGTCACGTGTCCCTTCTGGAGCGGCGTAGTGGTCTGGACCAGTTAGGGAAGAGCGGACTTGTGGAATAGATGTGGGGAGATATCGTTTTAGCATTCTGCCTGTTGACGTTGGCGGCTCCAAGTCAGTGTTGCAAGAAGCTGATGCTGAAGCTTCAGCATCTTTTTGGTTCTTGCTCTGGACTTCGCTACGTGGTGTAGCGATGACGACTGGCTCAGGAAGCAGAAAGAAATCTACTGGAGAATAGCCGTGCTGTGAATTGTCCAGCCTGGATATCGAGCTATGCCGTTGTGGATAATCCACAGAAGACGTTTCAGAGGTCACTATGTTATTTCCATGACCGATCTCAGTGTGGTGACGCGCGAGACTTGGCACACCATGGTGATACGAAACATGACAATGGCAATGGCGTTTTACTTGTCCATATCACTAATGGTGGCAACACTGATAATTCATCTGAATCCAAACTGCTCTCAGACGTCCAGTCCGCATCATGCTCCATTCTTAACGGAACTCGACCATCTTCTATGTTGACCAATTGAACAGTCAAGAGCACGGCCAAAGTTAGCAACAGACGATATCTTCAAGCTTGCTGAATAATGAGTGCAAGCTCTATGAGTGATGACAAGCTGGATCTGTTCACATAAATACAGTTCTCACTACTGTGGTAACAAAATGTGAGGAAGGATGATCACGTCCTATTTGGGTACATAGGATGGAAAATTAGCTGCGCAAAGTTTGCTTACCCCTCACAGGTGAGATATTAATGACGGACTTGTGCCACTGTGTGGAAATTCGGGTACCAGTGAGATTATAAGTTTTACTCAACAGAAATGGACGATATCTTCAAGCATGCTGTATAATGATTGTAAACTCTATGGGTGATGACAAATTGGATTTCTTCAAATAAATATTGTTCTCACGTACTGTATTAAAACACCTCTTGGGAAAGGTAGTCACCTCTGATTTGGGCACCTGTGCTGGTATTTGAAGAACTTAATTTGTGGTTATACCTCGCAGGTGGGATAATCATGTCGGACTTGCCAGGTTTCGTGGGAATTTCATGATATTTCAAGTTTTGTGCTAAAAACCGCGATATGTGTACAGTGCGAACACGCTCTAGCCACTGACGATCGTTTTGACAGGATCTTTTTCCTGTACTCCGAGTTTCAACTGACTACACGGTGCACTTTGTTGTGTGTAAGACAGATCTGCCGGGTCGAGTATCTGGCTGTCTGGTAGTTGTGATAAATGCGTCAAAATGGCTGCGAAGGCGCACCACTTCCTGTGACTCAAATAGTCGATTGCTGAACCTCACACTGATTTCATGCTGTAGAGTAAGATTTGTCTCACGTCTTTAGAGAGGCTCCCTGTTGCGAGTCATGGTGGTGACAGTCAATTTTGTTCGTCAGGCCTTTCCCCTTGTCACCTTCCCCTCGAACGAATGAATAATTTGTATGTTGGGGCTTCCCTCGTGCTACATAGTGCGGGAAGTGTGTGGGTTGCAGTGAGAACTCCGTCCCACCAGCCAGTGCGAATTCACAGGAAGCTTGAGGGTGAAAGTCAGAAGAAAGTGTTGAATGGTCGCTGCTTGGATGACCAGTAAGCCATAGCTTAGTGTTAGAGCATTGCTGCTTATTATCAGTGTCAGGGTTCGAGTCCTGGTGGTGAAAGTCAATTTTACCTTTCGTCCATTTCCACTAAGCACATGAACTTTGAGATAGTATTAGAAGATTTGAGGAGTTTTGACAAAGACTAGAACAAGACAAAACAATATTATACATGGGAGCAAAGATACATACAGACCGAATATAATTATAGCTTTATACGCGGCCTTGAAAACAGCAGAGCAATGCGTACGTGCTCTAGAAGTATTATACTTGTTTGCGACATTCAAAAGGACAGGTTTATCAACAATGGAAAATGCGTTCCGTCTGTGTGAGACGTGCAAAGGACAACATGGAAAGAAACAGTACAATATCAACGGGAAGACAATGATACAAGATATTGTTTGTGATGGTAGTTGTTAGTATGGGTGAAATCAGCGTGTAAGTAAGCAGTTACCAAGGAATAGAGTTCAGATCTGTCTGTCATTGGCATTAAATTTACCCCGGTTAAAACCGGTCATAAAAATCAGATTTCAGATCATTTTGGAAAAGCTTCTGTTTAGAGGGTGTTTGTATTTTCAAGTTCTTGAAAAGTGTGGTTTGGCAGTGAAAGACTTGTCCCGATCGTTCACACATGATCCCTTGCTCTTAGGAATGGATTCGTGCATGAGCTGTTTTGCTGGATTTCCGATTGAATGACTTTCCACATACATCACACGAAAATGGTTTCTCTCCAGAATGGATGCGTTGATGACTTGTGAGATGTGGTAATTGTCTGAATGCCTTGCCACATAATTTACACTGAAATGGCTTCTCTCCAGTATGTGTACGTACATGAGATCTAAGGATGGAACTGACGGAAAAATCTTGACCACAGTAATGACACTTAAACCGTTTCTCCCCTGTATGGATACGTTCGTGAGCAGTACGATTGGATTTGTCACTGAATGACTTAGCGCAGTACTGGCACGCGAAGGGTTTCTCTCCTGAGTGAACACGTCCATGACTGGTAAGCTTAGCTTGCCTATTGAAGGTTTTATCGCACACTTTACACTTTAACAATTTCTCTTCTGGATGTGTACATTCATCAGATGTTATTAAACAAGATTGAGCAGAAAACGATTTATCGCATTGCTTACATTTAAGCGGCTTTTCTCCAGGTTGTGAATGCTCACGATCCAGTGTGTCATTCTGGCGATCGAGTGACGTATCTTTTTCCTTGCTGAGCAACGGTTCAGGTTGAGTAATGTCAATTGGAAGTTGACAAACTTCCTTCGAAAACGACTCAAAGGTGTGCATATTGTTGAACGTTTTACGATCGTGATGTTTGGGATCTTCAGATAGGCTAGACGGCAGAGGAGATACTGGAATACGTCCGATAATGTGAACGTCCACAACGGCAGATTTGCTTGAGTAATTGCCACATTCTGAGTCATACGCTACTTGACCATGGCCTGTGTAGTGATCTGAATCCGAAACGGGATAGTTAGCAGTTTGGTTTCTGTTGTCATGCGATCTTTTTTCAGTGTCCACTGCCGGTGTCATGGGATTAGAGCTTAGCTTTGCGATAGCTGTTGTCGAAACGTTTGTAGCGTTTGTTTTGTTCTTACTCTGGAACGCTGGTAGTTGCTCCCTGAAGTTGTCTGCCACATTGTCCAGCCAATCATGATCATGAAATACACTTGAGGTAGATGTTGATGTGCTCGAAGCGCTGAATGAGGAACGTTGAAGTGCATTATGTGAATAGGAGTATTCTGAGGTCGCTACTTGATTACCGCTGTCTGCGTTTACGCGGTAATGAGTTCCACACCATGTACCATAATATGGTATATTTGGCGGTGGCGGATGATTTGTTGACATTCTGCTCGTCCATATCACTAATGGTGGCAATGGTGAGAGTGCCTCAGATTCCAAGCTCCTCTCGGAAGCCAATTCGCAAGCATCCATGATTCACGAACTATGCAAAGTTTTAAAACATTATTTATCCTTCCAAGCACTCAAAGTTTCCGACTTCAATGCCAATAATCCATATAGCAAGGCCTCGCCCTTCAAGGTAAGTTTTATAACCAGTAGCATCTGTGTTTCCCGTAATAATAACAGAACACTCTGCTAATTCATCACGAATAACATCTATTTCTGAACGATATATTCAATTACCAATACTACCAATAAAGCTCCACACCGAACTGTCCCAGTCGAACAATGGGCACCTGCGGAGTGTTGAGGACTTGCGCCGTCTGGAGCGGATTGCTGTGGACCGTCCAGCATGGAACGCGCTGGTGAAGAGTGTTTGTGCACACCCTCGTCACGAGTAGAAACAGCCATGGCACCCTTATAAACTCATAACAACCATTCTATAATAATATTACTATTTGAATCTTCTTAATAATTATCTGGCAACTCAACCTCATACGTATCTGGCCACCCATTGACCATGATGCTACAAGAGGAGACAATAGTGATGACATTTTTCCAATGAGACCAAATTTATGACGCTCTATGTTACTGAAGGACTAACTTCGATCATTGGTTTTGTTGAGCCCCATTCTCTAGGAGCTGTCTACATCTGCTTTGTTTCAATGTCCAGCATAAGCGAACGTGTGGATCAAGCATAACTGCTTGGTTGACGCTGCCGAGGGAATGCGTATAATAATAATAACATTCAATTAACTCATGGCGATCTTATCATATCCTGCGCATACGCATAAACACCTACACGCATACACGTCTTCATACACAAGGGTAACACGAACATACACGGACCCACGCACACACAGAAACACACACGCACGCATCACGCACACACCCACAGTGTTCCTTTACTTTTCCTCTTCACCTTAGCGAGCTTGTGTGGGATTACGAAAGCTGAGACTTGCACTCCAAGCTGACTCTGCAACACCAGACTTGGGATGGTGCAAGGTGAGACAATGTGTTGTTAGGTATAACTGGAGACATGGTTGCATGGAAGTGTTCTCGCCTTCTTTGAGTATATCACGTGCATCTGCAGAGCTTAGGAAGAGCCTGGTACAATGCGACATGATTTCAACATTAGTCACAGATCATGTCTCAAATAAGTTGAGTGTAGCCCCACCAGCCACTTGACGATCAGCTCATGTGATAACATTGCACGACAGTGGTGCTGATGATCTACAGTTACAAACTTCAAATCAACTCTAGGTCGTCTTGGATGTGCACTCGAACATCCAAGATGGCCCAGATTTGATTGGCAGTTAGATGTAGAACGCCAGAATCGTTGGTGAATGTGGTGGAAAGCTATCGCATGAGTTGATCGTCAAGTAACTTATGGCGATAGTGGACATTATAGTGTAAATTGTAGTTCCTTGATCAATTTTCTTTTCTATAAATGAATTCTTGGCTCTCTATCAGAGTCAAATATAGTAGTCTTGTTGAATTATTACGTTATAGTGGTTGAATGAAGTGTAGTTGAAAATAGAAGTAAGAAAGATGTTAACGCAAAAAATGTCGCTATCTTTTACACTATGAAGAAACGCAATGAGATGAAAAAATCACGCCCTGTATGTGTACCTTCAATATAGACACGCACACTGCAGAGCAGTAAAAAAGACCCTTTTCTGAACGAGGAATCCACAAATTTAGTTCTGTGACGTACGGTATCTACTGAATAAACAGTATTCACTGACTTGTCATCCCTGAGTGTAGGAGATGGAATGGGTTCGATCAGCTCAAAAACTCTTCATCGTGACTAGAGGAGTAGAAGGGAATATTCTACGAGAAGCCCTTTGACTTCCCTGATTGCTGAAACGCTTCTTGCCATGATTGCTACTTCTTCAAGCAAGCGAGATTCTCTTTCGCTCCACTTCACTGCACTGGAGCGTCCACCCGACACACCTTTTTAACCAAAACATCATTTTAAAAAAAATGGTTTTTACCCTTAGCCTGGTTTTCAAGGAAGTTGGGCCATGTAGTAAAATACTAATAATTACATTATGCCCAGTTCCGAGCACTGATAGCGTGCTCTTGGTACCTCGTCACGTTATA